CGTCGACGATTTTGATAGTCGACGTAATCGTGACTAGTCGACTAATCGTGGCAGCCCTAATATATATCAGGGTCCAGAGTAAAACAGTGCTGCTGAATTACAGACATCCCTATGTGTGTAATTCAAGTAGAAATGTTTTGGCTCGGACGTTAATAGATATGGACGCCTGCCAACAAGGATTACTGCAGACAGATGTGCTCTGAGGCAAAGAATTACAGACAGCAGCAGTAATCTTCAAGAAGGTTCAAGGTTCTTTATTCATCACATGCATAGTTATACAGGTATAACACACAAGCCTGACTTGTGCAAAAGGGAGGGGGGGGGAGAACATTATATATAATATATACATTCGGTGACTGTGTGTGTGCATCAGATTTGAATCACAGATAGCAAAGTTGCTTTTATTTTAAAATTTAATTAATATGACCATAAACTGAAACTGTGTGTGTGTGTGTGTGTGTGTGTGTGTGTGTGTGTGTGTGTGTGTGTGTGTGTGTGTGTGTGTGTGTGTGTGTGTGTGTGTGCTTATCATAGTCTTGCAGCAGATACAAGCCACAGTTAAGTACTGCTGTCTGCAGTGAACTAGTGGAAGCCTTCAGGGAATGCTGTCATTACTTTTCATACAAATGAAAAAAGGAAGTCTTATGCTGAGGATTAATCATTGGTGTCTCAGCTGTCTTTTTTGCACACACGCTCAGAGAAAAAGGCATTCCTTGGGATGTCCCGCTCTAAAGATAACTTGACAACAGGAAATTTGATCGGTCTTTCTCCCTCTTTCTGTCCTGCTTATTTGTTTTGAATATTTCATCACACAGAGCAAAAGTGCTTTAAAGGTTGTAGAGGACACAGCTATCTGTAGTATCTGTCACCTTAGTATTACCCAGCATACATTAAAGACAAAAACACTCATCTGTTTATTTATACTCCCAAAAAGCTTGGATAGATGCATGGAATTGTAAATAAATTTACATGTCTTGCTCAGCTTTAATAATTTGTTAACAACAGCTGAGCCTGTTCTTAAAACTAGTTCTAAAATTAGTTTGACTCTTGGCAATTATTCTGCAGTTCTCTTACTATTTTCCACCTCCTTTTCTTTCTTATACTGCCTTTTACTGCTCATCCCCCATTTCCATCAAACAATTTAAAATTCAAAAACCAGGACAGTCATACTGTCTCCTCTGTGTCCCAGTCGCTTTGTATTTTGTCTGTGCTGCTGGATGGGATATGTTAGTCCTTGAGACCCAGCAGAGGGGAGACGGATACAGATGATGTTTAGACCTGGTGGATGTAAAGCTGGCTCTGGACTGTAGAGGTGGAGAAAAAACATGTTGGTGAAGATACAGAAGGAGGACAAAATGACATATGAGAAGAGGGAGAAAAACGGGGGGCGTTACAGAAAGGGGGGAAAAAAGATGATAGATACGAATATAATGGGAAAGAAAGGGCAAAAGAAGAGTAGAGTAGAGATGACTATAAAAACATAACAAAAGGATGGTTGGAGAAGAAAGAGGAAAAGGGACAAGATTACAGAGGAGGGAGGAAAACAGGAAAGGAACCAGTGACAGATTAATTATCTGAACTCTTAATAGACAGGGGGAAGGCTACTGCATCCTGACACTGTGTTGCTGTCTACAGTATATTATAGTTAATAAGAGTGTGATGGATATTGTACATATATGTTCAATGTGATTGCTTAACGCATGCTTCACAAGGACATTAAGCTGTGCAAGTCACCATCATCCTTTTACTGTAGCGGAAAAGAGAGAGGGGAGGATGATAACGGAGAGATCAGCACTCATCTCACTCCCTGACCCAGACGAAAGCCGCTTTAGTGTGTTTGTGCGCGCGCACGTGTTTGTGTGTGTGTCAGCTGCTGTAGCCACTCCATAACGCCTTAGTGAGGATTTCACTACATGAGAGATTATGTGGTAGTAAAACCTGCTATTTACTGGTTTGGGCCAGCTGGCAGACTGATTTATGGGCTGAATGACTTTTGACTTGCCTAATAACTGTACGAGTGGCCAGTTGGCTGATTATTTTATTTGCTCTGTGACTTACTGTCTGACAGGTTGCCTGGCTGGCTTGGCGTCTGCTTTAAAGTCGATTTGACTTTTTTGTCTCTATGGAAACACAAGTTAATTGGCAACCATTTAAGCTAGATTTAATAGATTTCAATTTCAATTGATCCTTGTCAGATATTAGTTTAAACATATGTGTGTGTAGCCTGTATACTGCAGCAGTACTGTACTGAGTGGGATCAGGCTAACTGTCAAAATTGTCAAACCATCGTGGATTATGGACAAACCAAGGGACCTAGATGAAGCGGTCAGATGTAGGATAGCATCAGCTCAGTTTCACTGAGGCTACACTGGCCCAAACATAAATACACTAAAGTGTGTATGTGAATTTTAACTGCATGTTCCACATAACATATCACATAAACCCTTGAACCAGTCCAAAGTTAATCACCTTTGATCATTTCAATTTAGTTGTGTCATATAGCTTAGCCTTCTACCAAGAAGCTGGCTGCACATAGAAATGAAATTAGCATTTCTATCATTTTAAGTTTGGGCTCAAAAAAACATATAATGCTGCAATTTTATAAATATGTTTTGGGTTACAGTGTGACTCTGTTTGTTGTGACAGCATTAGTGATTAAATTAGAAATGTGTCTGTTTATCATACATGAACGAGGCCAACAACTGAAGTGTGTAGGTGAAATACCTCCTGTGGGACTGTAAAACAAACCTTTCTGACTTCCTTCTTTTTAAATCTTTCTTTATGGAAACGAAAGACAAGCGACTGAAAACACTGTAACATGCAGAGCTGTGTCACCATGTTGTTCTGTTGTCCTCCTTCTCACTTCCCTTTTTATGCTGTCAATAAAGAATGGAGCAAAACCCACAGGAAATGATAGGCCTTGTGCTATGGTTCACCCTTCCTGCACACAAACACGCGCAAACACACACACACACACACACACACACACACACACACACACACACACACACACACACACACA